CTCAAAGCTGCTACAAGATCTCTCTACATACTATTAAGCAAAGGAATAGCAAAATATGCTGAAGGACAGCTTCTTACTTTGCTGAAGGACAGACGCTATTAATCTTCCCCGGTACTTACAGCTGCAGAAGTGTGCTGGGGGGTGTTCTCAAGTGTACAGAGAGGAGCACCAAGGCCTAATGCCTTGGAGTCAGTAGTTGGCATAAACAGGGTATGTGCCCACAACATTTCCCAGAAGGCTTTGCACTGAGCAGGAATTCCATTTTCAATGGCAGAAAAAGGAGAAGGTGATCAACATTAAGGACTCCCTGGCTCAGGATCAGGTCAAGACATTGGGTTGCCTACAGTGGATGACAAGATAGCACCTTCTCCTGTTCCATGTACAAAAGCCAACTTGACTGACTGTTCAATCTTTCTTCAATACTGGCAATGGGACAGAATCTATCAGCACACATGAAGGTAGAAACCTAGTTCAGATGCTTCAGGGTTTATGTCATGACAAAAGGAATCTGTATGTTTTGTATTCCAGGCTTGTCTTGTGGTAGTCAAGTTTTTAAAAGTAAATAATATAGATGTATTTTAGTTGTTTCTGAGAAATAGAAAAGAGTTACTTGTAACAATCACGGCTATTTGGGGCACTTTAGAATTATAACTGTATGCAACTGATTAGTTTCAAAAACTAAATTTCCAAGCTCTGTTCAAGACCTCCCTTAGGAAATGCCATATTAAGTTCCTCTTGCACTTTAGACTGATGCTTCATATGGAATTGTGGTAAACTGAAACAAAGTGATTACAAGTTGTAATCATATGGTGTCCCTTGTGATCATCCAGTAGCTGAATATGAATGACAGCAGTTGTAATCAGGTTTGACAATACTTTTCTATTTTCCTTGCTTTGACCCCCATTTACCTGTCATAATGACTTCATCTCCATCTTGTAGAAATTTACGGGACTGGCCATTCCCAAGGTCAATTGCTTTTGTTCCTTTCCATGACAATTCCAGCATGGAACCAAAATTCTCAGGATCCTTCAAGTAAAAATTAAAACAAGAACAGAGCATCAGCTTTCTGTCTGGCTGTCCTACAGCTACACACCTCTGGTATCACTGGTTTTCAGAAAAATCAAGGATGCTCTGGCATCCTCGAGAGTGGAAATCTGCCAAAAACAGTCATCGATCCTGTCCATTGACATGGTAGGCTTAGTCATTTGGCTGTAATATAATCTTTTATTCCCTAGAAGATGTGATTGCCTATAGAGTGGGTCAGGAATTTTTTAGCTAATGCCTTTAAAATCTTGGAGCAGACTGTTAAAAATAAAATAGAGCAAAACACTCCCCAAAGAATCCTAATTAAGTACAAACAGGGGACAAAGCTAGGACAATGGCAGCTTTCAGGATTTTACCACTCTGTGCAGAAAACAAAGCTTGGCACCATTTCCTTCTTCCATTTGGTACTTTTCATTACTTACCAAAGGTGAAAGGAGGGCAGCAGGGCTCTGTTTTTGATGAAAAAAGTTACAACAGCCCTGGATTTAACTATATGCATGTTGAATCTGGGGACACTAGGAAACAGGGGGGACCTCATTTTCCATTGTTCTCAGCTTCCTAGATGGATGAGACATGCTCTAGGTCAGGGTAGGCAACCTTTTTTACCTTGGGGCCGGTCCCGCAAAGTCCCTCCCGCTGCTGGGTCGAGGGGGGGAATGGTGGTGCGCGCACATGCACATGTGCACCGCCCCGCGCACGCACTGCCGCCTCCGCCTCCGCATGCACCGCCTCCGCCATTGGAAATCAAAATGCCGATCACAACGTGTTTGCGCATGCGCAGTACTCCTGCGCATGCACAAACGCGTCGCAACTGCCATTTTGATTTCCAAAATGGCGGTCGCGGTGCGCACGGCCGCACAGCGGCAAAAACATGTGGCGGCGCACGGCAGTGGTGGCGGCAACCTTCCGCCTGGGCCGGTAAGTCCAGGGACCTGGGCCTTAACCGGCCCCCGGGCTGTAGGTTGCCGGTCCCTGCTCTAGGGCTTTGGTACTTGCTAGAGAGCCTGCGTGGCATAGTGGTTTGAGTTTTGGACTACAACTCTGGATAGCAGGGTTTGATTCCCAGCTTGGCTATGAAACCCAACTTGAGCCAATCACAGTCTCTCAGCCTCAGGCAATGGCAAATCTCCTCTGAACAAGAAGGAGAAGAAAACTCTATGATAGTTTGCCTTAGGCTCACCATAAGTTGGAAACAACCTCCACACACAACAACAACAAATAGTCATTACTAGGAATGGGATCCTCTCAGATACCTCTCCATATCCATTAATGCTCACTTGAGAAGGAGCACCAAAACCTTTGTTCTTATTGTTGAGGTCTACAGGAGACGCTCAGGCTTTTAGGTTCTATGAATCAATGATAAGAGGTCAGATTCCTGTATGGGAGTTACACCTTTGTAAATGGACATATGCATGTGGGAATTAGAATTGGTCAGTTTCATAAAGTCCGTATCCAGTTGAGATCCAGCAGAGTAGAGCTGCTGCATTACTGTGTAGCACAGAGTGGCCAATATGCATTGTTCACCAGTTTGCATTGGGACCAATGTGCTTTGCAAGTAGATGCCTATCACAGTGTCTTCCTGGTGCTCCAATATGCATCTTTGCAATTCACTAACAGGGTTTCTAAGCACCTCTGCTACCTAGCTAAGTATATGTAAAGTAAGTGTGTGTGTGTGTGTGTGCGCTCTCAAGTTGCCTGTTGACTTATGGTGACCCCGTGAATGTCATAGGCAAGGAATACTCAAAGGTGATTTTGCCAGTTTCTTCCTCTGAAATATAGCCTATAGCACCTGGTATTTGTTGGTGGTCTCCCATCCATGTCCTAACTAGGGCTGATCCTGCTTAGCTTCCAAGATCGGACAGGATCTGGTGCCTTTAAGATATTTATATTAAGTAAAAGGTGATATAAGATTCTGGCAAACATTCATATACTGGACCTGGAAGCTTCAAAGGACCTTATTGGGATCCAGTTCAATCTGGATTGATTCATACCAGACCTACCCCTTGAATTGTCTGGGATCCAAGGGACTCTTCACATTCCTTTTAAAATTTGGGTTTCATAGCCTAAATACAACTGTTAATTCCAACTAGAGCAGACCCACTGAATCCATGCCGCTTATATAAGCCCTGACTTTCCAAGTTTTCACTGATTTAAATGATTTTTTTCTTGTAGGTTTTAATTGGATTTAGGTCAAAATAATTAAATGCTTACTGGTCCACTGATGGTTCCAGATGCCAGAAGGTCTCCTGGTCTGAGGTTGCAGCCATTGATTGTATGGTGAACAAGCTGTTGCTTCATGGTCCAATACATGTACTATGGACAAAGGAGAAAATTTAGAGGAGGGGATTTAGAGCACTGAGCATCCACAGAAAATGCATTATACAAGTGGATAAGCTATGTCAAAAGCTGCTGCACGTTTTCTAGGGATACCCAGTTCAAACCTTTCTTAGGGGGCATTCACACTTACTTTTTTGTCCCGAGGAGATCCGGATCTCCACAATGATACAGTACCAGGTAGATGTTCCCACTACGTTTCCTGAATCTCTCTGTGCCATTTTAAACCTATTACCATTCACACTTAACTCTGTCACCATTCATATCAATTTAAAATGGAGATGCCTCCATTTCCAGGAATGATGCATCATGATCTGGATAGACTCTTTAAACAGAGGCTGGATTGCCATCTGTCGGGGATGCATTGATTTTGAGTTCCTCCATGGCAGGGGGTTGGACTGGATGGCTCTTGTGGTCTCTTCCAACTCTATGATTCTATGATTTGGCACCATACTCACACTACTGAAGATCCAGATTGTTGTGGTGCTTTAAAAAGGACATGCTTAAGGACCTGCTGTTGAATACACTGGGTTAAGTGTGTTTTTTCATGCCTTCCCTGCAAACGGCGCTGGATGCATTCAGGTCCAGTGGGAATGTCATGGAAGTAACCCGGTTTCACACCGGGTTATTTCCGTAGTAGCCAAGAAAATAATAAATGAAATAAATGAAAAGTGATGCTGAAAAAGCATTTTCCCACCTTAAAGTTTGAACTGCAAATGTTAGCTGGTTTGCTCATTCCATCTCCTGAAAACAAATACATATTGCCTGCAGTGAATTTTCAGTGCAATAAAACACCCATGCCCAGGTCACTCTGATGCTGAAATCTAGATAAATAAAAATTGAGCACAGTTGCCTAATCTCTCCTCTGTCCAGTTATAGGCCAGAGCGGCTATTTGAGATTTGGCCAGTGGCTTTCCAGGTAAATTTAGCTGCAACTTTTGGTGTCCTCTGAACCCAGTTCTGTAGATGGAGAGTCATTTTACCTCCTTCATTTATCTGTCATTTTCCCCCTTCAGATACAAGAGAAAGAAGTAGCACAGTCATTAAGTAACACCAAGTATGATTTGAGAAGAAATGTATGTAGGAGGTTGAAGCCTAGTTCAGTTCATAAATCTGCTACCCACAAGGAGTTTGAACCTGGCTGTTGAAGTCCAGTTTAAAGAGGATGAATCAGCTGGTGATCCACAGATGAACAGTTTGACCTGGTATAAGCCTGCTTTCCTCCATCTCGGAAAGACAAGTGTAGAAAAACCACTTATGTATTACCAAAACAACAAGAAGGCAGACATTTGCATGTGCTATGAAATACAGATAGGAATAATGGCTACAAACCAGATCCTGTGGTATGCCCAGACATCCTGAGAGGTTAAATTGGTGAATAAATTAGAGAGACCTTTCTCTTTAGTGTGGCACTTTATCCCAAGGGATACCGGGCTGGGCACATTTTTATTGAGCTTCTGACAAGCAGTCAAAACCGTTATTTTGTTAGGCCCTTGACATTTAATTTTTCAAAAGACCTTTCTGAAATCATGTTTCATTTCTGGTCTGCTTTTACAGCATGATTTTCTTCTGCATCACTTTGGGAGTCTTTGTAAACAGAAAAGTGACGCATAAATACTTTATCAAATTGCCTTTTAAAAACAAATTCGTAACAAGGAGAGGAATATAAGAAATAAAATCTTCATTCATCTCATCACAGTGACAATTTGGCTAGTATGTTTGCTCAGTCTGCTGTCCCGGTGCTAAATGTTGTGGATGGTGTAACACCCCGTTCCTCCTTCTTATGGTCCTTTCCCTTTAAGCAGGACTTGGAAACTAGACAGCCCATCAAAGAGAGGACTCCCTCTGTAAAATAGGACACTGGGTGATCCTAGCTAAGCATGCAATGTGACCCCAATTGCATCCCAGTGCCAAGAGACTGCAGCATTCTCTTCTTCCGCTTCCATTTTCTCATTTCTTTATTTTTTTAGCCAGCATTACTGCAGCTGTCTTCAGCTGCCCATTTGATCAGACACCACACTGACAACAACCCTCTCTGTCACTGTCAAAATTTGCTGCCTCTGGACTGCTGACAGCTGCAGGAACCACTTGAAGGGAAAGAATGAAATATAGCAGAGGGAGAGAAAGAGGAAACAGAGGAAAGACGACAAAGAAAAGGAGGGTGCATACGGCAGAATTAATAAAAATGTGTATTTCATAAATGCTGATAGTCACCCCTCTGCTTCTTTGATGCAAGGATAAGGTCAGTTTATCAAGCTTGTTTTTAGTTCACAACATTTTGTTTAATCAGACTGACATATTCTTGCCTCGTGTAAAGCTGAAACAGAACAAAAAAGAAAGAAAAGAAAAGAAAGGGAAAAGAAAGAAAGAAAGAAAGAAAGAAAGAAAGAAAGAAAGAAAGAAAGAAAGAAAGAAAGAAGGTTCTGGGTGGAAAAATATTTTTGGGACTTACCCTATAAGTAGCTGCCTAAATATCCTAAAGGCACCAGATCCTATCTGATCTTTGAAGCGAAGCAAAGTCAGTCCTGCTTAGTACTTGCAAGGGAAACCACTAATGAATACTGGGTGTTGTAGGCTATATTTCAGAGGAAGAACCTGGAAAAACCACCTCTGAGTATTCCTTGATTAAGAAAATCCTATGAAAGTTATGGGGTCGCCATCAGTTGACAGGAGACTTGAAGGCACAGACAGACCCTACAAGTCCCAGAATCTGGAAGCTGTGGTCTGAAGTCAATTTTCTAAGGGCTGTGGGAAGTGAAAGTAGCTAAATGACAGAGCCCAGGTTTTGCATTTAGAAGGTCAGCCCTTGAGGTTTTCAATTAAAAGGTGGCAGATGATGGGGGAGACATCTCAGTCCATGACCCTGCAGAACTGCCTTCCAGTCATTTCTGACTTACTAATTTATGCCTATCCTAGGGTTTTTGGGCAAGATTTGCTCATAGAAGATTTATCATCACCTTCCTCTATGGATAAGAGTGTGTGACTTGCCCAAAGTCATCCACTGAGTTTCCATAGCCAAACAGAGATTCAAACCTGGTCACCAGGAGTCCCAATCCAACACTCAAATCTTTATACCACACTGGTTCATACAATGCTTTTATTCTGGGAAAACTTAAAGAGTTCTTGGGAACCTGAAGGAGTTCTGGAGAACTTATACATTTGCTCATTACTTTGTAAGGTTCAACCTAATAAATAACAACAAAAGTAATAACCTTTTATTATTTGAACTCTGGTCTCCCAGGGTCCTAGTTCAATACTCAAACCACAAAACTATGCTGGCTCTCTAGAGACAGGCACTACCAGTCAGAATAAACAATTATGAGCTAGATGAACATTTTGGCCTGCTACTCCTATTTAGAAGTACTTAACATACATTGTATTCCCTATTACCATGTATGGATGTGACAGTCAAGAAAGAAGATAGGAGGAAAATCAATGCATTTGAGAGAACGTGGTGCTGGAGAAGAGTGCTGAGGATCCCATGGAGAGCCAAAAGGACAAACAAATGGGTCCTAGAGCAGATCAAGCCAGAGATATCCCTAGAAGCCAAGATGATAAGACTTAAGACTGTCGTACTTTGACACATCATGAGAAGGCATGAATCATTGAAAAAGAACAATGTTAGGAAAGGTGGAGGGAAGTAGAAAGAGAGGAAGGCCACATGCTAGATGGATGAACTTTACTAAAGAGGCAACGAATATGAGATTGGAGGAGCTGGGCAGAGCAGTAGTGGACAGCGG